TCATTCTGCAGCAGGTTGCCCTTACTTATCATCTGCTGAGCACATCCCCAAGGTAGTGGGAGTCTGGTGTTCTGATGCGTGATGACACTCTTGTGGCCTCCACCATTTTTAGAAGCTCAGGAAGGGAGATGAAGCTGCCATTGGTTCAGGTGGATTATCCCTGGATATCAGTCACCTGTTACTGGATTTTGTGTATGTTCCTAGAAAAATAAAATTGGTTAGAAACTATCTCAGAATGTAGCAATTTCTCTGGCCCTTTTTAAAGCTAACAAATGTTGTCAGGTTTTAAATTTTACCTCTATTTTATTTTTTAAAAATTCAAACAGGGTAATGTCACCTCTACTTGGAGAAACATTCTGCAGCCATTGAAAATATTTCTGAGAGGTATATAATAACATGGAAGAATGTTTATATTTTGAAGCTAAAAAGGCAGAATGTAACATTGCATATTGAATAAATTACAACCATGTGATGTAAACAAAACAAAACAAAACAAAACAAAACAAAACAAAACAGACGTGCAGGGAAGAAAAGAAACACTGTGAAGAAGCTGCCAAAATATTAATAGTGGTATTCACTGGGTGGTAGGAAAATAAGAAATATATTTATCTTTTTTCTGATTTTATGTATTTTTCAAATTTTTGTAATGAGTGCATATTATTTTAGAGTGGTGTCGTTCAATAGAACTTTCTACAATGATAGAAATGGTCTGTATTCGTGTTGTCTGATCTGTAGCTGCCAGTCACATACGACTATTTAGCACTTGAAGTGTGATCAATGTGACCGAGAAACTGAATTTTTAACTGTACTAAATTATTACTAATTTGAAGTTAAATTTTAGTAGCCAGGTGAGGCTAGTGACACTGTATTTGACAGTACGATTTTAAAGTAAAAAAATTAATATAAAAAATATGTATTATATCTCAATAAAACTGTTAAAATAAAATAAGCACTTAAAATGTGCTCACTACAGCAAAGTCTGAAATTTTACTGCAGTGTGTAAGTGAGTTTGGACTACATAATAGAGAATATGAACACAGCACAAGAAAATACTGGGGTGTTTATTTAAATTGTTTATCTTCTAGTTCAACAAAAAGTGATCCAGCATTAAGCTTGTTCATGCCCAAGTTCAGTTTTAGACCAGGCAGAAACAAACAATATTTGGATATTATCAGTTGTTGCTCTGCAACAATTTGTGCTATTATGAATAATATTCTTTTGTATACATGTTTAATTCTTTATGCAAGTTCAAATCGTGAATAATATCTTTTGAGGTGGGAACAAAGCTTGTTAATGCCCGTTCTACAGATGAGAAAAATGAGGCCTATGGAGGTTCAGTTCCCAAAGTCATGAAACAGGAAGCGAAAGCAAAGTCTCTTAGTTCTTGAAGCCCAGAGGATTTTATTATCTTTCACAATATGGACAGATCATTTTCTGATAAATTGTCTTGGGAAGAGTACTTCCCCAGGGAACTGGAAAGAGTCGCTGTTTTTAAGCCCTTTAAATGAAGTTTGTTTTTGTTTTTTGGCTTTAGAGCTGTCCTAAGCTTAGTTCAGGGAAGACAGGTTACCCTTTATTTGGTTGGATCTGTGTCCTTATGCTTTCCTTGCCACGCAAAAAAATCCTTATCTTTTCATGTGAGCTCACTCTAGACCTCCAGCCCCATAACCTCATCCATCTTCCCTCCCCTCCTCTTGCCTGGTGGGGACTTAGCCAATTGTAATTCCACATCTGGAGATTTAGAAAGATTTAGAGAGATGCCAAGCTCTCCTGGGATCATGTTCCCTGGACATGAGGTGCAGTGGACATAACATTAGAGAGATGACCTTGGTTGAACAGGCCGCCCCCCTCCCCATGCTTTCTTCATCTGGGTGGCCCTGAGTGTTTGCTAAGAGCAGCAGGCAGCGGTGCAATTTAACATAAATGAATCCACTGAATGTTTTCAAACCTAAAGTCTCAAGCCTTTTTGGTTCAAGTTCTAGGGAAAAGTTGGAGCCAGTTGTGATTCTTAAAAAAATAAAATAAAAAACTAGTTCACTCGTCTGTCAGTACCGCCAAGAAATATTCACACGAGGTGTACTATCCAAAAAAATGAAGAGTAGCTCTTTTCCAAGACGGATCTCTGGAACTCTCTCCCTCCCTTGCTCAGAACCACTTCCTCTCCTCAAATCTCACTTTAAAACCTTCCTGTTTGCTTTAGCCTATGACTGACTCAAGCCCCATTCATCTTTCTTTCCTCTCTCCCCACGACCACATCCTTCCACTCTCCCCTCACCATCTACTGTGAGAACACTGGCCCGCCTCTTTCCTCCCTCCATTTTTCAGCCCCTTGCTTGTTACCCTGCAGTGACAGCCTGGCATGTCGGGGTTCTCTGCCGGCCTGCACGAGTCACCCTCACCTGGTCCAGACAGGTTTGTAAATGTGCAGGTCTTCTCCACATGGGTTCCTGTACCTCCCCCCATTCTCAGAGGAGAAAGAGGAGGTAATGAATTTCAGTGGTACTTCTGCCTAAAGAGGCACTTTGCAAGTTGTATTTCACAAGTTACAAACTCAGAAACTTGAGAAGCAGAACACAAAGAGACCTTGTGATAGACCTGCAAAGATACCAACTCCCAGCCTTGTTTCCCTTGGGAGACTTCAGGTAAAGCCTGCAGGAGAGGTGGGAATAAAAGCCAGGCCAAACCGGAACTGTTGTTTCACTTCAGAATAGAGTTATAATTGTCTCAGCTGTGCTTCTTATTTCCCTCAAGTAACGAGGAAAGTAAATTCCTCAGCAAGGTTCTAAGGCAGGATTGGCCCTGGGAAAAGTCCCAGAGTAGACCTGAGTGTTTTAATTCTTTTTGCTCAGGGTGTACACGCAGTACTTTCTAAAGAGTGTGGTTTCGAGTCGACTCTCTGAACATTCTCCTCCAACCCAAGATGGAGCCTCCTCCCACTCCTGTCTCCACAGCGGCCTCACTGCTAGCTCCAAAAGAAATACTTCCAGAATCAAATACACTAAATTTTGTCTAATAAAACACATACCCGTCTCATTTTTGATCTTATCACAATAATAACAGCTGCCATTTTCTACCGCATTTGAGTTTGCTATGTGAAGTATGTAAGGCAGGTGTTAATATTCCCATTTTACACTTAAAGGTCTAAGGTTGACGTGACTTGCCTAAGGTCACAGAAGTGGTGAGTGGTGGAGTTGGAATCCACGTTTGTCTTCTAAGGGAATCATGGTCCAGCTATAGAAATCCCCAGGTGAGCATGTCAGGGTGTGAAGAAGACAGTGCAGAGAGGACTTCCTCAGGTCGGGTGAAGCAAAGAGCACTTAGAATGAGCTTTTCAGTGGATTGTGCGGGGTTTGTTTGATTTTTGGTAGCAGACTTTTATTTTATTTTATTTTTTTAAATCAGGCCTGCTTTATTTAAAAACTTCTTTCTTCCTTTCTTCCTTTCTTCCTTTCTTCCTTTCTTCCTTTCTTCCTTTCTTCCTTTCTTCCTTTCTTCCTTTCTTCCTTTCTT